GGTGGGGCGCAGCTACGCGACTGCTCCTCGGGGCACGGGCGTGAGGCCGGCGGCAGCCAGGGGCCCCCACAACCGGCCTCCCGGGCTTCCGACGCGGCCATGGCGCGGAACCTCCGGACCTGGCTGGGCGGCTGCCTCTTGGTGTCAGGTAAGGGGTCATCGGGGTGGGACTACTGCGTCTTGACCCGGACATCCCGCCCAGAGGTTGGATGGGGAACCCGGAGGCCCGGTGAGGGTGGGATTCCACGGACCCCTGGTCGGATCGCTCGGAAAGTGACTGAGTGCACGGGTCAGGCCTCCCGGCAGGAGAAGCAGACACTGCAGCTGGCTGTCGTCAGTCCTATAAATGAGTAGGAAACCCCGAGCCACTCTGGGATGACAACCCCCCCTGGACTACAAACTCCTCTAGGGGTCACCCCTTTTCATTCACCTCCCCTTTAACCCCCGCTGGTGCGTTCCAACCTGAAAGTTCGAGTAAGGTCCAAAGTATCCCACCGTTGCTGTCCTCAGACCCTTCTAGACACCCACCTCCCCCACGCCCCCACCCCACCCCACCCAAGTCTAATGGGGGTCTCCTACCAGCCCCCATATACCTGCCCTGACCTCAGGGCCACCCCTCCTGCTCTCCTTACACCCGGACCTCCCAAGAGCTGTGTCAGCTTGAGGACGTGTCCTCACTTTGCCCTCACTTTCCCTCAGCTTCCTGTTGGGCACCCCAAGACCTGAATTCTGCCCTTCCACGCCACAACTCGGTGGCTTCTGAGTTCTAAATGCAGTGAAAACCAATGGAAATTGCCAGCCGGGTTCAAAGTTAACACCCTGGGCCCCCCCACCCTTTCACCACCGTACACATGAATTCACCTCTGGTCTTTCACACCGCTGGCCTCCCTCTCCAGTGTATCTACTTGGGCGCCTCCACATGACCACGTCTTTCTACCGCCAAGTGCACCCCTCAGCCCTCTGGTCTCCTTCCCCTACACTATCCCACGGTGGGATCTCAGCAGGACCCTGGTACTAAATACCAGCCATGGCCCACACTCCCCAATATGTCTCTGTTCTCACTGCATGGGTCATGGGCAAGTGGTGGTTTATTATATATTCTGGATACTTCTGTGTATGTTTGGCATTTTCTATTTAAAAGCTTAAAAATTGGGCCCTCCCTGGTGGTACAAGGGGTTAGGACGTAGCACTGCAATCAAGCTGCTTCAATGCGAGTTCGATCCCCAGCCCCGGAGGTGACCTCTCCTAACCCACCTGCTGCTCCCCTCAGCAGTGTACTTTGTCCATCTGCCTGTTCTGCTCCCCACTCTCCCTGGTGAATTCGCTCACTGCCCCTGCACCTCTGAGTGTACCCCAGTTCTGTATGCATAAATAAATAAATCCTTAAAAAAAAACAAAACTTAGGCCCTCCCTGGTGGCACAGCGGGTTAAAGCACTGCACTAAGAAGCGTAAGCCACTTCC